TATTGCTGTTGTTGTTAAGTGCCATCGAGTCAATTCCGACCCATAGCGACCCTGTATAGAGTTTCTGAGGAGCAGCTGGTGAGCTTGAACCACTGACCTTGCAGTTCAAACGGCTTTGCAATCTGGTGCATTAACCCACAGCGCCACACCAGGACTCCGATGCTAGGTACAGAGAGCACAAAATATCTGGTCCAGTCACTTTTCAAGAAATAAGTGTTCAATCACCTACTTTGAGTTATGAATTCACATGCCCTCCAACAATCTTGGGGAGCACACATGTGGGTCTGCTGTTCCAAATATTCCATTTCTTAGGAAACTTAGCCTCAACTACAGAGCTTCAGGAGCTCCCCAAATCCTGGAATTCCTCTCTATTTGACATTGGGCAAATCTGCTGCAAAAGACTTCTTGAAAGGTTAAAAAGCAAAGATATCAATTTGAGACTAAGATGCACCTGACCCAAGGCCATGGTATTTTCAGTATCTTCTTGGCATGTGGAAGCTGAACAACAAATAAGAAAGACCAAAGAAGAATTGATGCTTTTGCATTATGGTGCTAATGAAGACTGTTGAATATAGTATAGACTGCCAAAAGAATAAACAAACCTGTCTTGAAAGAAGTACAGTCAGAATGCTCTTTAGAAGAATGGCAAGACTTCATCAGATGTATTTTGGACATGTTATCAGAACGAGTCAGTCCCTGTAGAAGAGCACCATGCTTGGTCAGCAAAAAAGAAGAAAATTCTCAAGAAAATGGATTGACACAGTGGCTACAATAGGCTTAAACAAAGCAAGGCTTAGGAGACAGTGCTGGAACATGCAGTGGTGTGTTCTATTATACAGGGGCTCACCATGAGGCACTCAACAGCACCTAATAATGCCTATCTGAATTTCATATTTTCCTTAAGAGGCAAATTTTGAATCATACTTACCAAATCTATTTATGAACATGCTTCCCCACTTTTCCCTTTTGTCTCTCATAATCAACATGCATCACAGTTGGAATTATATTTTCATAAAAAAGGAACAGCTGGTCAATAAGTGGAAAGATGTTGAGAGTACATTATAAATTAAAAAAAAACCAAAAACAAAACAAAAAAAACAAGAACAGCATGAATTTACACACACAGAGAGAGAATAAAATAGAATATGGGAATATGGTGGCTCAGTATGATATGCACTAGACCGTGAACCATAGGTCAGCAACTTTAGTCCACCACAGTCAAGTGAAAGATGAAGCTCTTTGATCTTTCAAAAGATTTATAGCCTCAAGAATTGAAGAGACTTGGAATCAATTTGTCCAATGGACTAATGGAACATGTGAGCATCCATCTCCACACCTCTGAGGCCAGAAGAACTAGATGGTGTCTGGTTATCACTACCAACTACTCTGAGAAGGTCCCAGATAGAGTGGGAGGAAATGTGGAACAAAATTCAAATTCATTTTTAAAAATAGACTGGGCTTACTGGTCAGAAAGAGACTGGAGGAACCTGATAATATGGTCCTCAACTACCATTTAGGTCTGGAAAGGAACTCACCCTCGTGGCCCAATTTTCAGCCAAGTAATGGGTGAGTATATAGGGGGGTGGGGGACGGGGGACAGCAACACTAGTAATGTATGCTCACCATGAATTGGTCAATCATTCAAAATCAAAAAGGCAACATCTTTATAAGGTCAAAGTTGAGAAGGGATGGGATAGTGGGTAGAATGCAAATAGGAACTACAGGAAGTAGGTTAGCTGCTGTTGCATGAAGGGGCTTGCAAGCATTGAGATTAAACAAAGTGTGTGATTTGTTGAATGCAAAACTGATGCTATGATCCTGTTTGTAAACCTTCACTCAAGTCACAACAAAAATTTTTTTAAAAAGAGAAAGAGAGGGGCAATTGGGTCCACAATTAGATTAAGAATGATGCTATTAGGTCCACAATTAGATTAAGAATGATGCTATAAAATAGCACGTATCTCTTCAGTCTTTCGTAATAATAAATATATTACAAGGAGGGAAAAAAAAAGATTTACAGCCTTGGAAGTCCCATACAGGGTTACTATGAGTTGGAACTGCCTTTATGGCACTTAACAACAGACAATAGAGTAAGTGTGTATATAGGAAAAGAAAGAGAATAAACAAATAAGTAAAAAACTGAGAGACAGTCATCTCTGGATGGGACTATGCTTGATTCCATCCTTACTACCAAAATCATACCAAGGCAAATTGGGAAGAGACACCACCATACACAGACTAATGAAATCCCTGTATTCTGCTTCACTGGCCACAAACAATTCTCCACTACACGTTGCATTGCTTCTACATTCTCGCTCCCACTTCAGACCTTTCCTCTGCTTGGGCTTCAGAGTCTCCCAAAACTCCTTTTCCTACAAGTCTTCAACCACAACTCTCCAGACCTTGATCCTCCCCTCCTGTGTCACCTTTCTCCACTTCTGATCATCCCTGATTTTCTGGATTAACTTCATACCTCATAGAGTTCTCAAACTCCTCCTCAAAGACTCAAAAAATCAACATCCCCCATAATCTTCTTTGTCTTGCATTGTTGTTGTTGTTGTTATGTGCCCTGGAATCAGTAATGACTCATAGAGACCCTGTACAGGGTTTCCGAGGCTGTAAATCTTTACCGGAGCAGAAAGTCTCATCTTTCTCCAGTGGAACAGCTGGTAGTTTCCAACTGCTGACGGTGAGATAAGCAGCCTGATTCGTAACCATTACGCTACCAGAGTTACTGTCTTAGATTAGTGAGTAAATAAAGTGAAATCATCTATGTTTAATAAAAGGAGGCAGTTGCTCTTCCTCTCTCCTGTCTGGGTGTCCCCTTAGACACAAAACATGTTGGCCTTTTGGTAAAGAATGATCTAAACCTAGTCTGCAGATTTTACAATGCAAGGCCAGTGACCTTCTGACTCAGAACTGTAAACACACCTCCAAAATTAACTCGGGATCTCTCATGAGATGTGCAGGAAACTATCAGAAAGTGCATTTATTTTTCTTTCAAGGACATGAGAGATTTTAATAGCTTTCTTCTACTTTTGTTGGTGTTAAGTGCCTTTGAGTAGTTTCCGATTCCTAGAGATACGAGTTTTAACAGCCAACCTTGCGGTTTAAACTGTCCTTTCGGTCGGTCCAGTGCATTATCCAGCAGCGCCACATCAGGACTCCCACCACACCATAAAACATGTGAGGTTCTGCTTGTTGTTGTTGTTATTGTTGTTGTTAAGTGCCGTGGAGTCGATTCCAACCTATAGCGACCCTGTGTAGAATTTCCAAGGAGTAGCTGGTGAGTTTAAACAACTGAACTCACAGTTCAAAGGACTTTGCAGTCTGACGCATTAGTCCACAGCGCCACACCAGCACTCCCTTGTTGTTGTTGTTATATGCCCTGGAATCGGTTCTGACTCATAGCGACCCTGTACAGGGTTTCCGAGGCTGTAAATCTTTACCGGAGCAGAAAGCCTCATCTTTCTCCCGCGGAGCGGCTGGTAGTTTCGAACTGCTGCCATTGAGGTTCGCAACCCGATTCGTAACCCTACGCTTCCAGAGCTCCTTACATACATATAATTTGTCAAGTTTACATAACAACAACAAAAATCTGTTTTCTTTCTTTCTATATTGATGTGAACATGTCTGTGTTGGCAAGATTTTCGTTTTTCAACCTGCTGGACCCTGACATGCCTGCCTCCCTACTCAATGTCCCACTCACTTCATGTCAGCTGATAATGGTCCTCTCAATTCCTTGTCCTTACTCCTCCACACCTTCATTCCAAGTGCTTCCTCACTCCTTTCTTCAGCAGCGCATCCAGGTCGCCACCATCCTCTTATGCCCCTAGCAGCCCTTTGTTATTTGTTAAGTGCTGTCGAGTCGGTTCCGACCCATAGCGACCCTGCATAGGGTTTCTGAGGAGCAGCTGATGAGCTTTAACTGCCAACCTTGCAGTTCAAACGACTTTGCAGTCTGGGGCATTAACCCACAGCGTCACACCAGGACTCCAGCAGCCCTTTGTTGTTGTTAAGTGACGTCGAGTAGATTCCGACCCCTCGCGACCCGTATAGGATTTCCAAGGAGCTTGAACTGCCGACCTTTCAGTTCAAACGGCTTTACAGTCTGACACATTAACCCACAGCGCCACAACAGGACTCCAGGTCCCCACAGTTTCCTTATGCCCCCAGCAGACCATCAGGTCCCCACAATTTCCTTTGTCCCCCAGTAGCCCTTTAGCTCCCCACCATCCTCTTAGGCCCCAGCAGCCCTTCCAAGTTCGTATCATTTCCTAGGTCCTCACCTTTGGCTCCACTGCCTCGGTCTCAGCACTGTCAACATCTCCACACCTGCCCCAGTTCATGAAGCATTGGGGAAAGGAGGGAGTCATCACCGTGGCAACGACGGAGGAGGGCAAGGCTGTGCCGGGGAAGGGCCGAGAGTGTTTGGGGCACTTCACCTCAGGTTAGCGACGCTGCTTACCTGAGGCGCTGGGGGAAGGCGCCAAGGCCGCGAGACCCGGAACTGGCGCTGTCCGACAATGCCAGCGGCTTCCGAGGCGGCTGTAAACGCGAATTAGACCAGAGATGCTTTGTGGTCTCTAAGGCGCCTGCGCCTTAGAGGCCACACAGCACTATGCGCATGTGCCTAACCCTGGCGCAGCTGTTTGGGGTTGGACAGCAACACCATGCCCTCGGATTATTCGTTCCGCTCAGCGGCGCTGGACCTATCTGAATTTACGCGTTCTGTTGTGGTTTCTGTTTTGGCCGGTGCCGCGGCCTTTCCCACAGCTTTTGTGCAGAAAGAGAGGTTTGGGGCAAGTATTTTCTTTTTCATCCCTCCAATATAAAGAGTAAGAAATTGGAAGGCCGAGACTGAGTTTCGATCCCCTTCCCTTGGCCGGAATCGATTTCTCTGCCTGGACCGAGGCCTGCCCGGGGCCCTTCCTTCGCCCTAAAGCAGCCTTGCGGGGCAGCAACCACCACCCCTGTTTTAAGGGACTCGGGGCATCGGGATGGATAGGGAGACGCGCGTATTCGCGGAGAAGCACTTCCAAGGCCTCCGGGAGCGTCTCCCCGCCAAGATCAGCCGGACCCCAGACTGCGTGGACTTCATCGAGAATCCAGACGCCTTATCCTACAATGACTTCTTTAAGGGTTACCTACTCCCCAATGTGCCCTGTGTTTTCTCCAGAGCGTTCACTGAGAGCTGGGGCAGCAGGAAGCACTGGGTGACACCCGACGGGAAGCCCAACTTTGATTATCTGCTTCAGAATTATGGTGAGAGCTAAACGGAAGGAATTAAGGGCAGTGGGATGACGGTTTCCTTACCAACTCAGAGCGCATAGATGTCCCGTACATGTCCAGCTCAGAGAACACAGAGTTCCAGAACTGTACCAGAGCCAGTGCCCTCTGAACCTGACTTTCACCCGTCCCCAAATTTCCTTAGGCCACAATCATATTGTATAGGCTACAAATATAGGGAACCATTAAGGGCTTGGGGAAAGGCCAGGGTTCCTCAGGAGTTACCTGATGACGGCAATGAATTGGAGAGTCAGTGACTAGGGACAAGTGGCCTGGGAAGAGATCAGACCAAGGTCAGTGAGGATGGACAACGTGGATGACTCTCAGAAAAGTCAGCTCAGTGTGCAGAACACAAACTTTGTATATTCCTCTTGTTTCAGGAGACATGGTTGTACCTGTTGCAAACTGTGGAGTACAGGAATACAACTCCAACCCCAAAGAACATATGCCCCTCAGAGACTACATCAACTACTGGAAAGGATATATCCAGGGAAACTACTCTTCTCCAAAGGGCTGTCTTTACCTCAAAGACTGGCACCTGTGCAGGTAAAGAGGCCCTGAGTGTGGACTGTAGTATGACCTACATTTCCTAGAACTGAATGAATCCTGAAGCGATCAGCTGCACCTAGGTGAACTCTTCTTTTTTCCCCAGTTAGGAGTATTGGAGTGAAAGAAACCAGCTCTTTTCACATGATTAGAAGTGACATTGTTCAGAACTGTCTCCTTTTCTGTTGCCCAGCGTCCTCTCTTAAGGGCTCTTCTCCACTCTCCTGATCTGATTGCTAACATGAATCTTGAGCCACCTTACTTTCAGATGTCCCCAGAACCTTCTCCTTTCTACCCCTTCTGTTTTAGTTCAGACCCACTCTTTTCTACCTTAGTTGCTACAGAAGCTTCTGTACTGAACTCCCTGCAACACATCTTGTCTCTTCCCTTGCTAGGCTCTTAAAAGCTTGTCAAAATGATCACTCTAGCAGGATACTGTGTTCTACCTAGGTTTAAAGCCCCCATCACTGGCAGAACCAATGTAAACTCTTTAATGTAGTATTCATTCAGAACCTTTCACCATCTGTCCTTACTTCTTCCCTGGGAAGCTCCCACTTCCAGCTTGAACCATACTCATTCTGAGAAACACATCTTGCTTTCATGGCAGGCAGGTCTCTCATAGTAGCAGCCCATCTCCAGCCCTACATTCTACTCTTCATTGTAATTTTTGGATAGCGTGTCTGTTTATCCCTTCCAAGAGTGTTCTTTTCATGAGTAGAAACCATTATGGTCAAACTCCCATCAATCGGCACAGGCACATAGGAGGTACTCAATTAATGTTGAATGAAAAAGCAAACAATTTCTTTTTTACTGTTGTGGGAACCAAGGCTCAAAAAGGTACATAAAGTAAGCATAGAGCCCAGGCTTCTGTGATCATGATTTACAGGACCAATCAAGGAGCGCATGAAAAGTAGCTATCACCTGTCATACAAAACACCCTGATCTCATAGTATGCCCCACACTGTTACTTGTTGGCACAGAGACTTTGCCCAGTGAAATTGTGGATAAGATACAATTAGGCACTGGTCTAATTCTCAGGGTGCTCATATTCCAGTAATACATTCATAGGCCACTGTCATGAACTGTGGATTTGTGCTTTTGATGAACAGGTAAGTATTTTTATTGGAATTGAAAACAAACAGTTGCCTTCAAGATGATTCTGATTTACAGCAAACTGATATGTTTTAGAGTACAGCTGTGTCCCATAGGATTTCCACTGGCTAGGACCTTTTGAAGTAGGTTGTCAGGCCTTTCTTCCGAAGCACCTGTGAGTAGATTTGAACTGTCAGCTCGTCATTTACTAGCTAAGCCTTTAACCATTTGTGCCACTTAGGGACATACTTATACTACAAAATTTTTCATTATTTATTTGAAATTCAGTTTTGACTTTGTCTTGTATTTTATATTGTTAAATGCCATCAAGTGGGTTCCAACTCTTAGCCACCTTGTGCAGGGTTTCCAAGGAGTGACTGCTGAGTTTGAACTGCCAACTTGTGGTTCAAACCAATCTTGCAATCCAGTGCTTATCCTACAGCGCAACACCAGGCCTCTCAGTGGAATAACCCAAAATAGGTCAGAGGAAGGCCTAGGGTCAGGCAGTCAGGAGGTGAGTACTATCTGAGCAGGTTTTTAAGGTAAATAGGAGTTTGACAGTATACAGAGGCATGCAAGGCAAAGGAACCAGCATGGTGTTTGGGAATTATAATTGATTTGGTAGTCCTGGGTCTCAATCATTGTCTCTAGCCAAGATTTATAAGTGGGTTAATCCAGAAACTTCAGTGTGGCATTTATAGAGTTATGCTTCTATTTCTTACAGACTCATTTAGATTGGTTGATGTGTTCCTGTGTCCGGTTGTCCATTTGTTCGATTCTGGGGATAGACCAGGAAAAGGGCTGGGGTCAACCTGGGATAAAAAGACAATCCTCATCTGTGGTGCTTTGAACTCACATTAGTAAGAGACAGTGGAGTTCACTGGTGTTAGTGAAAAAGTAAAGGAGGCCCACAGACAATATAATGCACACAATGCAGTAAGAAGTCTCCTGGTCAGCCAGAAAAATCCTGTAACTGGCACAAGGCGGGGTCTAAAGTGTCTGGATCTCTGCCTGTACCTGTTAACTATTGCTATGTAACGAACAACTCCAAAACCATTTTATATTTGCTCACACTTATGTGACCCAGCAATTTGAACTGGGCTTTAGGGGTAAGCCATTCTCCTGAGCATCTCCCCTGTTTGTCTAAGGGACTATATTGACTGGTAGCTCAACTAGGGCTGAGTGGTCTAAGATGGCCCCACTCACATAACTGGCAATTGGTACAGACTGTTGGTGGCCAGAGTCACTCAGCTATGAGCTGTGTGCATGTCTTTCCAAAACACTTTGTATGTCATGATCCCGTGGTCTGCTGACCAAAACCAGATGGCCAAGTCCAGCATCAGTGTGGGAACCGGCAGGGAGGTGATGCAGGGAGATGGGGTGCAGGAACTGTTCCTGCCACAGCCCTTGTGTGCGTTTCTCCAAAGGAACTCCTCAGCGGAGGATGTATACTCTCTGCCGCTGTACTTCTCATCAGACTGGCTGAACGAGTACTGGGACGCCATCAATGTGGATGACTACCGCTTCGTCTACATGGGACCCACAGGCACCTGGTAATGCTGGGAGATCACCAGCTGCCCCTAGGGATGTAGAGCCTGCCTTCTCCCCTTCACTCCAGACTTCCTCGAGTGTCTGCCTGAACCTTCCCGACTAGTATGTCAGCCCTTGCTCAGAACTGCTTGGAGAGTCCCATTAGCTAGACCATAAAGTTGGGCAGTGAGTGTGGCATTCCAGTCCCTTTCTGTCTGACCCAGCCCATTTTCCCTGCTTCCACCCCAAGCCTGTTTATCTTTTACAGTCAAGTGCCAGAGGTGTGGCCAACCCACCTGACTTGCAGGCCAAGGTTCTCAGGAAAAGAGGAGCTCCTTAGCACAGGTGTGAGAGATGGAGTAGGGCATCTGTATCCCACATGAGTAAGGAAGGCTACCCTGCTTTACAAGGAGCCTTGGTAGCCCAGTGGGGTACAAGTTGGGCCGCTAACCGGAAGGTCAGCAGTACAAATCTACAGTTGCTCTGTGGGAGAAAGATGAGGCTTTCTGCTCCTGTAAAAGATTTACAGCTTCAGAAACCCTATACAGGGTTGCTGTGAGTTGGAACCAACTCCATACACACAGTCACCACCACCCACTGTGCTACCAGGGCTCTGAGGCCATGAGTGTGGTGAGCTCAGTAAGTCAGGGACTGTCTCTTCCAGAAGAAACCAAGACCATACCCAAGCCAACAGGCACGAACCAGGAGCTCTCACCACAGGTCGCCGTTCCATGCTGACATCTTCCGCTCCTACAGCTGGTCCGTCAACATTTGTGGGAAGAAAAAGTGGTTCTTGTTTCCACCAGGGCAGGAAGAAGCCCTGCGAGATTGCCACGGCAGCCTGCCCTACAATGTGACCTCACCTGCACTTCTTGACGACCGCCTGTACCCAGCACATGCACACTGCAGCCCACCTCTGGAGGTCACACAGGAGGCAGGCGAGATGCTGTTTGTGCCTAGCGGATGGCACCACCAGGTCCACAACCTGGTAAGGTGGTCACTCCCAGCCCCATGTGACCTGGGATGTGGCTTAGACAGAAATCAGAAAAATATACCAGAGGCCAGACTGCTACAGAGACATGGCGGGCTCCAGGTGCAGGCTCCTGCATTTCCCCATAAGGCCCTGGAACTTTCCAGCTACCATTCACATGTGCTTGTCCCAGTGCCCACACCATGCCCACAGCCCACTTCCTCCAGCACCTGTCCTGGATGCCTTCGTCCTTCTGGTACTTGTAACAAGGCATTGCCCCCTCTTCTTCCTCAGTCCCACAGCAGCCACCCCATGTGGCAACATTAGACTCATTCACACAGCATTATGAGGACCTCCCAGCAACTCTGTATATCTCTCATACATTGCTCCCTGGGCCAGTGATTGGAAGTGGTCCATACATAGTGGCATTGTCCCAAGCCTATGGTGGCTCCCTGCACTTCACCAGAGGCATGTTAATCCATTCTAGATTAGCTGTGGACTAGATTACCCACGGGTTGTATAAAGACGAACACAATTACAGAGGCCTGGCCTTCATCAGTCAGGTGCCTCCCTCTTCTACAAAGATGCCAGCAGACTTTCTGTGCTTGTTTCAAGAGAGCAGAAAGAGCTGGGCCGGGGATAATCTGTTGTTGTTGTTGTGAAGTGCCGTTGAGTCGATTCCGACCCATAGCAACCCTGTATAGGGTTTCCAGAGCGCATCTGGTTAGGTGTCTTCAAATTGGTTCTGACTCACAACAGCGTTACACACAACAGAATGAAACACTGTCCAATCCTGTGCCATCTTACACTTGTTGATAAGCTTGAGCCCATTGCTGCTGCCACTGTGCCAGTCCATCTTCCTCTTTTTCATTGACCTCCACATTACCTACAATGAACTGGTCCCTAGGATAATATGTCCAAAATATGAGCAGCAAATGTTGGCCATCCTGGTTTCTAAGGAGCATTCTGGCTGTACATTTGAATTACATTATGATGTTGGAAAAGAATATTAAAAGTACCATGGACTGCCAAAAGAACAAACAAATCTGTGTTGGAAGAAGTAGAGCCAGAATGCTTCTTAGAAGCCTGGATGGTGGGACTTCATCTCTCATACTTTGGACATGCTACCAGAAGGGACCAGTCCCTGGGAAAGGACTTCATGCTTTGTAAAGTGGAGAGTCAGTGAAAAAGAACAAGACCCCAACAAGATGGATTGGCCCAGTGGCAGCAGCAGTGGGCTTCTTGAGTAACAACAATTCTGAGACTGGCACAGGACCAGGCAGTGTTTCATTCTGTTGTGCATCAGGTTGCTAAGAGTTGGAACCAACTCGACACTAAACAACAACAGATTACCCCAGACCCAGCTCCCTCTGTTCTCTTGAAGCAAGCACAGATAGTCTGCTGACACCTCTGTAAGACAGAAGCCGCCTGACTGATGAATAATACCAGGCTTCCATGATGGTGTTCCGGATCTTATACCACCCATGGCACGAAGACCGGCCCCATGATGCCTGGCTGGTTTTTGTGCACTGTGTAGAGAGTGGGCGTATAAAGGCCATGCTCATTGGGCTCATGGGACAGTCCTGTGCCCTGTCTTTTCTAGGAGGACACCATCTCCATCAACCACAACTGGGTCAATGGCTGTAACCTGGCCCCCATGTGGCACTTTCTGCAGCAGGAGCTCCATGCTGTGCAGCAGGAAATCAGTGAATGGAGAGATGCCATGTCTGACTGGCACCACCACTGCCAGGTAGGGCTATCTTTCCTTCTCCAGAAGTTCAGGCCAGGCCTCCATTTTCCTACAGTCTTGAGTATAGACTCTGGCCTGGGATTCAAGGTCCTTCACAGTGCAACTCTTCCTTGTCAGCTTGTATCTCTTGCCCTTGCCACCATCCTTCTTGCATATTAAGTACCTGTCCAGCCTTTGGCAATTAGATCAGACCAGCAGTGGACCCTGGATAAATGTGACAGAGATTGTGGGCACTCGGGAGAGGTTCACCAAGGCTGCATGTAGGAGGGATGTGATGATATGATATGTAGCATGTTACAGAACCAAGGTCACTGTGTCCTGGAGGTAGTTTCCAGGCCACAAAAGGTAAACACATCTAATCACTGGGAGGCCACTGAACCACTTGGCTGTCTTTTTTTGTCCCAAAATCTTTGTCCTTCAGGGCAGGGTCCATATTTCAGGGTCCTTTGCAGGCTGGGACCCATGACACCATTGTCACTTGTAAGAAATTGTTAACAAGCAGTGTCTCACTTACCTTCTGTTTTTGGCCCAGGTGATCATGAAGTCTTGTACAGGGATCAATTATGAAGAGTTTTACCACTTCCTCAAGGTCATCGCTGAAAGAAGGATCCTGACTCTAGCAGATGGGATGGACACTGGGACGACAGGGAGTGTGGGTGATACTAGGCTGGACACCCAACAGGCTGCTTTCGATGTCAGTCGGATCACTGAAGTGCTGGCGTCTTTGATCACAAACCCAGACTTCAAGAGAGTGGACACCAGCGCCTTCTCGCTGCAACCGGAGCAGCTGCTGCAGCAGCTGGAAAAGATCATCACTGCCGCTGCATCCCTGTAGTGCTCATCAGGGAGGGCGTGGCTGCAGATATGTGCTGGCATGGAGGGACTGTCGTGGAGATGGTCACCTGGCTCCAGGTGTCCTCTCTGTAAATAAAGTACTGCACTTAGCTGTGTATTCTGGATCACACTAGACCTTTAATTGCCTCAGTGTCTAATAGCAACTCCTGCTCTTTCAGGGTTTGAGACAGCCCCGGCAGTTCATGGAAGTGCCCTGGGCCCTTTTAAAGAACAGCAACCCCAGAAATCCTGTCTAGAGGTTCCAATTGGGATGTTTTTTGGGATGGGTCCCAGCCAGAACTGAGCATTACTGCTCCAGTGAGAGGGTGGGTAAGAAGGGTATTGGTAGACGGACTACAGCAACATGGTTCCTGAAGGAGGTCAGGTAGTGGATCAGGAACTCGGAAATGGGGCTGTGGCATTGCATAGGCTCAAGACTGCCTTTGGACAGTAGGACAGGCCTAAAGATTTCTTTCCCAACTGTGAGGCCCTCACCTTACCAGTCCTCATCAAGAAAAAACTGTTACCAAACAGCTGGAGGGTTTTTAAGTTCTGGAAATGAACTCAATCTTGGCATTGGTGCTGATTCACCACAAAATCTTAGCTGAAAGGTGTGAAACAACTCAAATGTCCAGTAATAGATGAATAAGTAAACAAAATGTATATCCATTCAATGGGATAATATTCAGCCATAGAAAGGAATTAAATATACATCTACACACTGGATTGGAGCTCAAAAACATTAAGCTATGTGAAAAAAGCAAGATCCAAAGGCCACGTAATAAATGATTCCACTTAGATGAGAAGTCCGGGGTAGGTAACTTCTTAAAGACAGCTCATTACTGCTTGCCAGGAGCTAGTTTGAAGGGGCTAATGAGGAGTGACTGCTCAATGAATATGGGGTTTCTGGAGTGATGACAATGTTCTGAAACTGGAACTAGATAGATGGAACCCAAATCCTGTGGTATTCACAGTGGTGATTGTTAAACATAATGAGAGTACATAAAACCACTGAATTAGAACTTTAAACTTAAACTGGGAGAATTTATTATATGGGGACCATCAAGTATATGAAAAACAAGAAAACACTACCCAAAAAGAAACAACACAAGCTCAAGTAAGCAGAAAAGCACTAATGCTGGCTGTCTGTACAGATCTGGTGCTGAAGTGACTCTGCCTCAGGATCTGGTCCTAACGGAAGCTCGAGCTGAAAATCTGGCATGGAGCTGGTTCCAGCTTTGTTGCCAGTGCTAAACTGGAGGGTACAGATGGCTCTACCTCTGATACTGGAACTGGAGCTAGCAATAGAATTAGCTCTAATTGTTGTTCAATGTCAAGTCGGTTTCAATTCATAGACACCCTGTATAGGGTTTTGAAGGAGTGGCTAGCCTGTCTGACCACCACACTTTGACTTAGCAGTCCAGTGATTCTCCTACAGTGCCACACAGGAGCTAGTACTATATTTAGCTCTAGTGTTGGTTCAGGAACTGGGTCTACCCCAGGAGGGGTGTTAGAGTTGGTTCTGGAGATGGTTGTAACTCTTGGGCTGGTTCTAATACAGGTACCAGTACTTGAGGTAGTGCTAGAGTGGGTAATGTTGCTGTCTCTTGCTCTAAAAGTGATGCTTGAGCTTGTCCTGGAGCTTTTATCTGGAACTGGCTGTAGGTCTAGAGATAAAGACAAAGCAGATTCTGCCTCTGAAAATTGTGGTAGAACTGGTGATGGTTCTATCTTGAGAACTTTTGCTAGAGATGGGACTGCAGCTTCCTCCTGCTTGGAACAAAATAGACATTAGCCTGGGGGTGGGGGGGGGGGGGGGGGTAGTGCCAGGAATGGTTCCAACTGTGGAATGTGCTAGACTTGACTACCTGTGGAGTGGGTGCTGTCGCTGGAGTTGACTTTAGTTCAGTAGCTGGTGCTGATTCCAACTATGGCAATGACAGTTGAACTGGAGCTGAATCACATTCTGGAGCTGGTACTAAACTTGTTGGAGTTCATGCTCGCTCAGTAGTTGGCCCTAGCACTAGCACTGGTGTTGGTACAGGAGATACCTCTAGCTCCAGATGAGCTGCTAGAGCTCGAATTTCATGTTGACTTCATGTCTGGTGTTGCCTCTAGCATTGAAGCTGCTGTTGGAGCTGACTCTAGTGCTAGCTCTGGAGCTTGTGTTATCATTGGTATTCAACTTAGCATTAGCTATTGAGCTGGTTTTAGCACTGGCTTTGGCCCTGATGCTAATGATACAAGAGGAGAAACGTTCACCAGCATGACTGCCTTTTCTCAGGCGTAGGGTCATGGTTTTGTGAGACATTCCAAAAAGTTGGCCTAATATTTTTAAGTGTTTCACTTTAAAAAGAAGAATTGATGCATTTGAGTTATGGTGTTGGAGGAGAATATTGAAAGTACCATGGGCTGCCAAAAGAACCAACAGATCTGTGTTGGAAGAAGTGCAGCCAGAGTGCTC